ATATGAGTACTGTACATATCGAATCATGATTGACGTGTCACTACTAGTACTAGTACTACTCTCTGGCCACTACTAGTAATAGTACAGTAATTAGTAACCTAGTACTACACTTACGGACGCTCATGAGGGTCTATGTCCCCTAGGGTACTGCCGGAAGATACCCTGGTCACTATTTGATAGGGTAGGATTGAGGTTTAGGGAATAGGCGTAGGCGACTCCCTAGACTCGTTAGTAGAGTAGGCGAGGTACGGTCCGGCATATTAGATAGTACCAGGTTAAATCCTTCCGCGCCTTCATACGCAATAGCTACATGGCGATATGGCCGGTGGCTATCTCCGTTTCAATAAGCCTGAGGCCCGCAGCTGCTTTCACAGTAAATGCTACAGTAGGGGGTTAGTCCACTGGTAGATATAGTATATAGTACAGTACCAGGGTAGGTACGTTCCGGTATACCGGGACCGTACCCAGGGTAAGATACCGCAGTACGGTCGCTCGGGGGACATAGACCCTCTTGCCCTTATTGCCTTAGTGCCAATAGTGGCCATAAACGCACAATGAATTGAGGCTTGGAGAAGTTATGCACAAATTGCAAATTGTTAGGGAAATGTTGGAGGTTCTTTTGACTAGAACTAGACTGAATTGCAAAAGTAGCTAATCTATATCTTTCTATCTTTTTAGGCACACTGTCGCTCATAGGGTCTATGTCCTCCTGACCTCTGTTTGACCTGGCTCGTTTAGCTATTTCTGACAACCCTAACCCTAACCCTAACCCTAAATTAACCCTATATATATATATATATATATATTAGTCAGAATAGCTAAATGAGCCAGGTCAAACAGAGGTCAGGGGGACATAGACCTTATCTGCTACACTGTCATTTTCAATCTACCCAGGCTTATCCACTCGCCCAGCTTTCACTGCAAATGAAAAACATCTTACCTGGACAGTTGCCTCAACTCACAATTTATTCACCATACTCATATACTCATATTCTTTAGTACAGTATAGTTTTATTTGGCCTGTGAAGAGTTATCGTTCCGAGATTATAAGAGGGTGACCACATCTGTCAACTCAACAGTTATAACATAGCGCTGCGATTTGTAGCCTCTTCAGGGGCGTAGCCAGCCTTTCAAGAGGCGGGATTTCCTTCCAAGAGGGGGATTCCTTTTTCAAGAGGGGGATTCCTTCTCAAGAGGGGGATTCTTCAAGAGGGGGGTCCTTCAAGAGGGGGGATTCCTTCCAAGAGGGGGGTTCCTTCAGAACGGAACGGAAGGGCCGTGTCTGTAGTACGGCTACGTGAACGAACACGGGCTTAAGTAAACCGACCAGGCTCTCCGACTGTTACACGTAGTGTTAAGCGAGATGGGAATTTGTGGCTAGGGCTTAAGCACCTGATGGTTGTCACATCACCATCACTATATATCACCTTCTTCCACCGCGTGCCTACCACACACCTGCATACAGATCTATCACTGTCACAACATGCATAGCGGTTTTTACGTTTAACAAGTTCGTGTTAAAAAAAGATTTTTTTATCGATGTTCACACACGCAAGCAATTCTTGGCAAGTTCCGCGCGAAAACCCGCTAAAAACATCGAAAGGGAGACGACCACTCTAGTCTAGACCCGTGAAACATAGAGAGATTCCATGAAAGCTCGAGATATGCGACACGTTACGCAATGGTATCTGAACGACCGATCTATGACATTACTGGCATATGTCAGACGCTTTATCTGGTAAAGCCCAGAAGGCTCATTCGAAAATCGTTCGAAATTCCAAAGTTTTTCTTTCGTTTAGTTTTTACTTTTTACTCCTCGGCTGACCAATTAGAATACGAACGTTAGTTACGCGTGAAATCGATAGAGAGAGAGAAAGATAGATCGAGAAAGAGAGCGCGAGAGAGAGATAGAGAGAGAGAGAGAGAGAGAGAGAGAGAGAGAGAGAGAGAGAGAGAGAGAGAGAGAGGTAGATAGAGATAGAAAGAAAAAGAGAGAGAGATTCAGTTGACTTTACAATCTCGGGTGAATCACAGACCTACAGGATGTAGCTACTGAGGCGGGAGTTGTTCTCAGCTTCCCATATTTCTCGATAGCTCTCTACACACGTACCGACGTGGTGCGACTATGCATATATAACATATATATATACTGCTTACTCGCGTGTAGTACAATCATGTGCTCGATACAATTCTTGTATATTGCCTCGCGTGTGTAAACTATACCTATATCTGTAACGTTAAACAGGTTCGTTGAAATGCCGTTTTATTTGGAAATACCGATGGCACAACCACTGTTCCCCATGAACCATGTACCGACGCGCCCCTACCTTTCTCCCTCCTTCCGCCATCGTGCCATACCCCGCTTCCCACACTCCCCGCGCCTCCCGTTCCCCGACCGTCTCGACTCATTAACATAGTCTATTAATAATCTAACGTGCTATTAATAGATTCTGTTAATTAATCAATATTCGTCACTGTATTGCATCAACGGAGAACGACGGGACAGTGCTCCCCACCCCACTCCACCCCACCCCACGGGGGTGAGGGGAAGGGGGTGTGTTCGTCTCTCTTCTTCTTCTTCTTCTTCTTCTTTTTCTTTTATACCTAGGCGCATTTCGGGCAGAGAATCCGCAGGCCTTCTGTGTGGAAGCCCTTTCCCACGAGCGTCGTCTTGCACTTGGTACACTTGAAGCAGTCGTTGTGCCACGCCCGGTCCTCGTACGTCACGTACTTCTGCCCGCTGGACCCTGCAAGCACACACAGACACACAGGCAACAGCCCGTCAGCCATCGTCGTGCATTGTTTTCGAAGATGGACAACAGGGGGCGTTACTAACGATGCGCGCGCGCGCGGGGGCCAAAAAACGGCCCCTTGTTGCATGCCATGCAGCACACACAAGAGGTCGCTCGATGCGCTCCTCAAATTCGCTGGCGGTTGCGCCTGCGCGCGCCCATCTCTCTCTTTCTTTCTCTCTATCTCTCTCTCTTTCGATCCACCCCCCGCGCGCGCGCAAGCGTACCGCGGGGCGAATTTGAGGAGAGCGCCGAGTCGGCCCCCAACCTGTGGTTTTTTTCGGACCTAAATACAGTCGGGGCAGATAATTTGCTCGTCTTCCACATGGAAGCCTCTCCCGATGAGAGTCGAGGCGCACTTCTCGCAGTTAAAGCAGTCATTGTGCCAGGAGCGTCCCTCGTACTTCACGTATTTCTGGCCACCGGGCCCTGTAAGAGACGGAAAAGCGTCAGCGCGGTCCGCGATCGGCGTCAACTCTGGCTGCCGGACGGGAGTGACAGCGTGTGGGGGTGGTGGGGGCTACACACACACGCACACACACGCACGCCCGCACACAGCACACGCGCGCACGCACGCACGCACACACACACACACACACAAAGCACACACACACACAGCGCACACCACAGCACACACACACACACCAGCAAAGCACACGACGTGCAGCCTGTGGCGGTAGAGTGTGTGGGGTGGGGTAGGGTGGGTGGTGGGGTACATCGCCACGCAATGGGTGGCAGCGTCGGGGGGCAGCACAGCGATCACAAGTGGTTGGCGGTGGGTGGAGCGGGCGTGGTGGCTAGGTGTCAGGGGACGGGGGGCGGTGGGGGGGGGGGGGGGGGGGGGGGGGGGCGGGGGGGGGGGGGGGAGGGGGGGGAGGGGGGGGGGGGGGGGGGGGGGGGAGCGGGGGGGGGGGGGGGGGGCGGGGGGGGGGGGGGGGGGGGGGGAGGGGGTGGGGGGGCGGGGGGGGGGGGGGGGGGGGGGGGAGGGGGGGGGGCGGGGGGGGGGGGGGGGGGTGGGGGGGGGGGGGGGGGGGGGGGGGCGAGGGGGGGGGCGGGGGGGGGGGGGGGGTGACCGCCATCAGCGACATCTGGCGGGGTGTAATGGCGTAATTAATTCGGTTAGAGGTGGCGCGCAGCGGGGTGTGAATGGTTGCAGTCGTTACTTTGCTCATACGGCGAGAGAGAGATGCGAGAGACAGAAGAGGGAGGGAGGGAGGGACGGGAGGGAGGAGGGAGGAGGCGAGGGAGGAGGGAGGGAGGGAGGAACGGGAAGGGAGGGAGGGAGAGAGGAGAGAGAAGAGAGAGAGAATAAGAGAGAGAGAGGCCAGAGGCAAGGGAGAGCCGAGCGCAGCGAGAGAGAGAGAGAAGAAAAGAGAGAGGGTGTAAGAGAAAAAAAAGAGAAGACGAGAGAGAGAGAGAAAGAGAGGATAGAAGATAGGAAAGAGAGGGGAGACAGGAGAGAGATGAGGAGAGTAAAAGAGATGAGAGAGAGAGTGGAAAGAGGGAGGAAGAGAGAAAGAGAGTGAGAGAGAGAGAGAGGCAAGAGAGACGTGAGCAGATACACACGTGCCGCCACATAATTTTTCGGTGTAATGCTCTCTGTCCATCTACTGACCCTCAGCGCCGTTCAACCGTACCACACACGTACCGCACGCGGTTTACAGCAGCGCATTCTCACATTAATTGCCTCAACCTCCCAGCCTGATTACTTCATTCACAGCTACATGTCCTTCAACTGCATAGCTGATTGTCACGCACACACATCCTGTATCTCTCACGAATGCACAGCTTACAGAACTTAGCTCGGCAGCCCAAAGGCACGCTAATCGCATAAAACACATATCGTGGTCGCACGCGCACACGCCGACTGTCTGTGACCTTTGTCAACGCACGCCTCGTACACGCATACACACGCACGCGCGCACGACGACGCACGCACGCACGCAGCGCGCTGCGTGACACGCACAACACGCACACACGCACGCACGCAGGCGCACGCCACGCACGCCTCGTACACCGCATCACGCACGCACTTCACACAGAAGGCAATTGGCGGGAGCACTCCACACACTCTACCCACATATGCACAGCGCATCGCACGCACGCACGCACGCGCATGACAAGGCACGAGTCCGAGAGTTGACACTAGGGGCGCTGTCCGGCCGTCACTGCCTCCGCCTCTTCCTGCCTTCTACCGTACTCCTCCTCCTGCCCTGCCTCCGTTTTTCTCCTAGCCACTACCTCCCCACATTTTCTTCACGGCTGTCGCACCATGCCATTCCTCCACCTTCCTTCCTCCTACGTTTATCCAGCATTCATCGTCGTGCCTCCATCACTACGCAACACGCACGCCCTACTCCGCTGCCTCCTCCTCGCTGCTCTTCCTCTGCCTCCGCTCCATCCTGCCTCCATCCTCCCTCTCTCCTCGCCCTCATCGCTTCCCTCCCTTTTTGATCTGCAACCTCTCATGTTCCTCCCTGACTCCTCCGTGCACCTCTTTTCTGCTCGTCCTCGCATCACGACATCATCACCACAACCTCCCCCCGCCCTCTGTCCTCCCCTGCCTCCTCCTTGCTCATGCTCCTCCTCTTCCACTCTCCCCCCCCTCGCCTCCTCTCCCGTCCTCCTCCCTCCTCCCACCTCCGCCTCACCTGAGATGGCCTTCCCTGCAGCGCGGCGCACTGCTTTTGGCGAACATTTTCGCGTAGCAGTCCTGCCAGTAGGGCTGGTTACCTCCTTGGTGATAGGCTGACTCCGCAAGTGAGGACTGGCAAATCCGGCGCAGACGAAGCAGTCGCGATGAAAAAGCTCCAGCCTCGAACGTCCCCGGGGCCCGAAGCGCGGTGATCGGCTGCGGAAGCGCAGGGAGGCAGACGACAGTTAGGAGTCATTGATGTATATATATGTATGTATGTGTATATATGTATGTATGTGTATATATATATTATAATATATATAATATATAATATATATATACTATGTATGTATATATAACTCATAGATGTATATAATAAAAAAATTTTGATGTAGAATGTAGATGTAGATGTAGATGTAGATGTAGATGCAGATGGCAGAGTAGGATGTAGATGTATGAATGTAGATGTACGATGTAGATGTAGATGTAGATGCAGATGTAGATGCAGATGCAGATGCAGATGCAGATTGCAGACTGTAGATGCAGAAAAATGTAGATGCAGATGCAGATTATAGATGTAGATGTTAGATGTAGATGTAGATGTAGATGTAAATGCAAGATATTGATGTAGAAGGGGGTAACTAGATGCTAGATGTAGATGTAGAGTGTAGATGTAGATGTAGATGTTAGGTATGTAGATTTGTAGATGTAGATGTAGCGATGTAGATTGTAGATGTAAATGCAGATATTGATGATAGTAATGTAGATGTAGAATGTAGATGTAGATGTAAGATGTAGATGTAGATGTAGGAATGTAGATGTAGATGTAATGCAAGATATTGATGTAGATGTAGATGTAGATGTAGATGTAGATCGTAGATGTAGTATGTAGATGTAAATGCAAGAATATTGGATGTAGATGCAGATGTAGATGTAGATGCAGATGTAGATGCAGATGCAGATATAGATGTAGATGTAGATGTAGATGTAGATGTAGATGTAGATGTAGATGTAGATGTAGATGTAGTACTGTTGTATACTTGTGTAGTCCTACTATAATATACATATACCATACTATACTTACGCAGTGTTATATATTCTGTTAATTACGCATAGGTTTATCTACTGTTGTATGCACACAGTGTTATATAATGTTATATAATGTTATATAATGTTATATAGTGTGTCATAAGCCGTCGTGACAAGCCAACCGAACGCCATTTCTGAATCCTACTTACATGCCATTCTGACCCTCCCTGACTCTATATTATTGTTTCCTCGATAGCGTTTCAACTCGATTGCGCACCGTTCCGCATCGGACGTGTTTGAGTATTTGCCATGCATGAGTCAGTAGTCAGCCAATGATGACATCGCGGTGGTCTCTTGCCTGACCGCTTACAATCGTAGGTTTCACGGGCTGACTAATGCAAATTATCAAGAGCGTATCAAGAAGACCTTCTTTATACGCTCTTGAAATTAGACGTTATTTACTTCCACTCGCGCTCACTAGATGACGCTGTTATCCGTTGGACGCTCATGGGGAATGCCGTACGGATGTATGCTGGCTATAAGCTTACTTTCTATCCCGAGTGTTCATTTGTAACTAACGCAGGACTGATCGACCTTTGTCCTTCACACTTCTCCGCCGCCTCGGCGACACAGTGCATCGACAGAATATCGATTCTGTGGCTCGTTATTCAATTCTCTTCGCGTGTCATCGAGACGAAATACCATACTGTAAGAACGCGCGTACACGTACACGCGCATGCATCCACACACACGCACGTACACGCACGCACACGCACCCGCGGTTCATTAGATTGATTAGATGAATATGGGTAAACTCTACCGATAGCCACGGCAAGTAATTAAAACTAAGTGATCAGTCAATTAACCGAAAGGCAACATTTGTGTACACACGCACGCACGCACGCCCGTACGCACGCGCGCGCGCACACACAACGCACCCCTTTCTCCTCACACACGCACACGCACACACGCGCACGCGCACACGCAAACACCACACCCGTTTCCCCTCTGCGCACACACGCACACACCCACCCACGCATGTACGCACGAACGCACGCACGCACACGCTCCCCCCCCCCACACACAAACCCCCCACCCACGCACCTTGGAGCACTTTCCGCAGATCTTGGCGAACTTGTTCGTGTGGCAGTCCTCGCAGACGATGCTGCCGTCTCGCTTGAAGAAGGACCCCGTGCCGATCGGCTTCTTACACGCCGTGCAGACGAAACACGTCTCGTGCCACTTGGCGCCTCCATACTCCAGCTTCTTCTCACCTGTACGGCAGCAGCAGCGACACACAGGTGTAAGAACGACGATGTGATGCGAGTAGGGGAAGAGCTCAGCCTGTGGAGGAACGGGTGATGAGGGGGGAGGGGGAGGAGCGCTCAGTCTGTGGAGGAATAGGTGAGGAGGGGGGGGGGGGAGGAGCGCTGAGACTGGGGGGGAACAGGTGAGGAGGGGGGGGGGGGAGGAGCGCTCAGTC